GAATTCAGATATCTTTCCATGTAAATTTCTTACTTTATAAAAGTCTACTTTCCATTTCCTTTCTGCTTACATACAGGCCCTGTTAAAGCAGCTCTACTTTCAGGGACCAATTTAGACTCTGACTCAGGATTTAACCTTTTCTTTCCCCTCTACCTGATATGTTCCCTTTTTCACTAATCTAGTTTCTGGCCCCTTTTTTGTTATTCAAACATTACCTTAAATATAACATTTTTGGAGAAGTATTCCTTTACTAACCTATTTAAATAGGCACCCTCTTCTTATACTCCATCCTAACTGCTCCTTTGTTACCTTCATACCTAGTCTAAGACATAAATACACATTTGCTTAAAGGCTTTATTTTGACACTTTGATCAAAGCATTTAATAAAGACCCCCAAAATCTTAAGAAATAGTAAATAGCACTAGAACATTAAGCATCACAATTTTACCCTGCATGTAGGCTTTTCTGCTTTGCCGCATATCCTCACCTCTGGAGATGATGAACAGACTGTTTGTATCTTTCCTTTTGTTTCTTTCAAGTTTCAACTCTGAGACTTGACCCTAGTAAGTACTCATTCAACATTCATATAAAAAATAATTAAATTGAAATTTCTACTGCTGTAAATAGCCAATTTTAAAATTCATAGCATATGAAATAATTTGACATTTTTTATGAAAACTCATTGAAACCATTGAGACTGTAACTATCAGGAAATACATACACACACACACACACACACACACACACTGATATATCACATTTTGTTGTGTTTCTAATTTAAATCTATTGTTCAATGTAAATAGGCTTTTCCCTCCAGAAAATCTATTCAGAAGTAGCAACTATTTCTAAGATAGCATGACTTGGGTTACATAAGGTTAGTTTCAGTATCATGCAAGAAATTAGTTGAGTCAGAAAAAAGAGCTCACATCATCTTAAAAACCTTAACACAAATAAGCAGCAGAAATAGTTGTGAAGGTTTAGCAAATAACAAATAACACAGTGACTTTCTCGTAGTTTTGAAAATATCTCAACTTGAAGTTGACTGTCTTTATTAATATAAACTCCTGAGAGATGATCTTGCGTCACCTTCTATGTGCTATCTGCACACAGTTGTTAAAGACCTTTAAATCTAATGTGCACTGACCCCTTGAACATTTGCTCTCACTGGTGGTTTCCAATTTCTTCTATATCAAATCGTGACCTTAACATTCTAACTCATGGATATAACTATTAGAATTGAGCTGACATGATAAATGACTATTCTTGCCACCCTTGGTCATATTTTTATTTTTCAGAAATTCAGTTCATCATTTGGTCTTTTCAATTTGCCCTTTACTTCTTCTTAATAATGATGATTTCATTGTTAATTTGCATTCCCCATAAAATAAAAAGAAATAATTTAATTAATAGATAAATTCTCTATTTCATGGCTTGATAGTATTTATCAGCTGCTTTGATTTTTTTTTAAAGAAATTAATTCAGGAATATTATTTGCAATCCTGTCTACTAATGATTATCTAAAAATCTGTTGCATTCAGCACTTGCAAATTTCATCATTTACACTATCCTACTCACTCCTAATATTCTCAGAAGTATCTACATTCATTTTTGAAAGTCTTTATGATTTAGGTGACTATCAAATTTTTCTCTAGTTCTGATTCTCTCTATAGATTTGTTTCCCAAGATTACCCCCTTCTGTTCATGTGTATCTTCCTGCCACCGGATACTAAAGATGTCTGAATCCAAATTTGTTTCTTATAGGCACTGTTAGCCCCAAACTAGCTGTCTTTGATTATTGTCATTGGCATAACAACTTTGTCCCAGCTTATGACAATAACAAGTTGAGGCTCATCCCTCAGTCAGTTCACATGTTATTTATACAACCTGAAGATTCACTTTTTATTTGCCAAGATTCTAGCAACTCTAACACTTAATGTTTTGTCTAGATACCCATTAATTGGCTTAAAAATTTGTAACTATATCCTTGTCTAAGTAAACTTAATATAAAGCAACAAGTTAGTGAAATAAAGGGTTTTTTAGTGTTAATGTGAATTTATTTGATGAAAAAGTAACAGTTCCATTTATTTAAAAACTAAAACGCTAAGTATTACAGTTAAAAATTGAACTAAGCTATTTCCTGAATTATTAATCTGTTTCCATTTAGGTGTCATCCTTACAAAATTTTCTTTAAAGATTTATTTATTTATGCATACAAGAACTGGGATACAGGCCAGGGGTGTGTGTGTGGGGTAAGAGGATTCATCAGAGACAGAGTGGGGAACAGAACAGGCAGATTGACAGAAATACACTGCTGAGGGGAGCAGTGGGCGAGTCAGGAGAGGTCTGCTGCCCCATGTGGGTATCTCCCTGACCGGGGATCAAACTTGTGCTGCAGTGGCTTTGGGTAGCTTGATAGGTTGTGTCTCAACCCCTTGTGCCACCAAGGAGGCCCATCCTTAGAACATTTTCTAACCTACAACAACTATTGCGTGATCATTAAATTTTTACTTAAAGAGTTAAAGCATTTTCTAAGTGTCTAACACAGATCCCAAAATAGCTTTATTTAACTTGACAAACAGTACAATACATATTTAATCTGTTTTGAAAATAATGGAAAAATCTTATTAATAGCTGTTTTCTCTTGTGGGGTGTGGTGAATAGTAATTTAGGGCAGGTGAGAGAAAGCAATTTAACATTTCCCTTGTTAGTTCCTCTGACCTACAAGTTTGGAGGTCACTGCAACACCCGGGAGCTTTTTCCACAGGATAAAGTAACAATTGCTTTATCTTTGTCAAAAACTTCTCTACTTTGCTGTCAGGAGTTACCTGTATCTGTATTTTGTTCAGTTATTGATTTTACATCATTTCTGTATCTGAAGGAGAGAAAAAATATTATGTATATATATGTATATATCATATATACTATAATAATATACTTAGATTTGTTCTGCATAAATTATCTTGGTTAAAGTCAATTTTTCTCAAAGGACTAACATCCTCTAAGCTGGTTTTATGTGATAAATCTGTGTCTGATGAATTGGTAGTTTATATTGCCTTTATCTTAAACTGTGTGTCCATTGGCTTTCACCCACTGGACATCTGCCTCTGTTGAGCTCATTCCCATTGTCTTCATTCTCTCTCAATTTTGATTCTTCAGCAGGCTAAGAGAATGAATTTATGTCAGTATATTAGCAAATCAAATAAGGGCCTAGTAAAAATAGTTTACTTGAAATGAAAAATTTTGATTTCCTTTAGAAATTCTCCAAATCCTTTTATCTTCTGAGTTTATGAGTGACTGCTTATTTTCACAATTCTGAGCCAAAGTCAAATCAAAGCATTGTCCAGTGAAGAGCTTAAAGATCAATCAGCTAGCCTGGAGTGCAGATTTAAATCTACTACTGTCTAACTTTGTCAATTCCAATAATTCCTAAAATTTCCTGGATTTTATTTTCCTTATTGTAACATGAAGTTGTTGGATTAACATGTCTAAAATTTCCTCCTCTTTTGAACGCTGTGTTTGAGAAAATTCTAAACAGTTGAGAAAAGTAATTTGAGAAAATTCTAAACAGTTGAGAAAAGTAATTTGACTTCAGTAAATTTCCATTTGCAACTGTGCCTTTCTCCTCCTGAGGCACCAAACATGCTGCCCAAGGTTGCCAGGACATGTAAATTGCCACCTGACTATTGATAAGTTTGAGCTGGTGACATTTGAGCCTACGCAAGGTCTGCTTTGTCTTGAAATAAGGCCAACCTCCAATGAATGCAATCTGTGATTAAAGGAATATTCAAATATCATCTTCTACTCCACAACTCCTTTCCTAGTTCAGGAGTATTTTAAAATAATACCAGTATTTACTAGTAGAAAAAACTTCTAGGACTTTGTTTTCAAGAAATGTCAATATATTTATGAAGAAATATATTTATATATAAATATAAGAAATATCTTTATAGATATATATTTGGCATATTGACACATATGTGTGTCTCTCTATATATAACACTGTTCCTTAAGGGAGGGGGAAGAAGATAAAAAGCAGAAGAAATATCCAAAATATGGTATCTGTTAAATTTTGAGGACTCCTATAATAAAATGTTACTTAGTTATCAAATCATGATTTAAAGAAGAATAATATGCCAAGAAAGTGTCTGGCTAATATCAAATGGAAAATGATACAAAACTGGGTAAGTAGGATGATCCTTAATCGGGACCATTCAGAAAAGAATAACCAAGGCTATTCTTTATACATTTTTAAATCTTTCATATCTCTCCTAAAGTCAAGTGTTGCTTTGTAGTGTGAACAATACTAAAAACAAACCAAAAAATATGTCTCATTTCAAAAAACTTTCCTGTGTTGATGGTCAAAAATTAAGAAACTAAGATACATATGTGTGAGGCATGAAAATCAAGGATATATCAATTCAGAGAGTGTTTGTGTGCATATAATTATGAAAATCTATAAATATGTTCAACCTTCAAAAATCCTGTGGCTTCTCCACATCAGTATTAATGACATTTGTCAGTTAATTATCTGTTATTATCTGTTCATGATAGGATGTTTAGTGATATCGGTGGCCTCTCTTCAGTAGTTACCAGTACTGCTTCCTAACTTAGCAATTTGTGATAACCAAACATTGCCTCCAGATGTTACCAGATATCTCTTGGGGAGGAAGGAGAAATATTACCCTGGTTGAGAACTATTGTTCTAAAGCTGCAGTCTCCTGGACCATATTTTTTTAACAGCAAACCAGAGATACTAGATTTTTTTTCAAGTTAGGAAAAACAGAGGAACCAGGTAAAAAAAAAATGCTACACAGGCAATTTAAATAAGTCTTTTTAAAAAAAAAAAATGTTCTCAAATATTGGCACTGTCTCCTAAAAACAGCTCCTTTGTGCAGCAGATGGGGCCAGGAGAACTCAGAAGAGCCTGATCCCTAAATAATTTCCTCTTTCAGTCTCTAATATCTGACAGGTTGGCATAATTGTAACATTTTTATTTCTAGATCTGATTCATCACCATCCCATAAGAAGCTCAATTGTCACAGTTCATGCATTTAGGCAAAAGCCGTGTGAATCCCTTATGTGGAAACTGATACTACATGGAGGTATGTGCACCAGGCATCTTGGTCCTTAGCATCTACAGTATTAATGACAACAGCAAAACCCATATTATCAAACAATAATCTGCTTTAATTTCCAGAAGTTTTCTAGAGAATAAGGGAAGTTTGATAAGAACAAACTTGGTTTTGCACAGAAAGCATCACATGCTTGTGTTCTATCTCTGACACACCAGTTCTTTTCTCAGTAAACCCATAATGTTATGGAAGATGATTACAAAAGGAATTGCAAAACAAGATAATTATAAAGCAAACAAATGATAGGAATTAAGGAAATGAATAAAATAAGAGATCAAGTCTTGTAGTAAAATATGCTTGGGAGGCTGGAAGTCTCTTCAAACATTTTCAGCCATAGACTAGGCAGTGGCTTTAAAAAAATCACTTAAACTCTTTGATATCTAAGCTTTAATAGTGGTATGTAATGTTCATTTTCTCATTTTCTTCTTCATTCACAAGTTCATATGTTATCCTGAATAAAACATGTTATATAAAAATATTTAAAAATAAGGCCAGGGGGGATTATGAGTTTGTTTGAATCCTTTAGCACTGGGAAAACTGTTCATCATACAGAAATCCCTCAGGTCGCTGATATCCTCAGACTGAAGAGATCAGTAAATTTCAATAAAGCCTACCATTTCAAGGACAAACTTTTAAGTAACATTTCCTTTTTCCTTCAGTTGTCATAAAATCTTTCATACCTACACAAAAATGTATGCAAAATAAATCAATTGAGGAAATACGGATCACGACTCTCTTTGAAACTTCCTCCAACTTCTTTGTCCCCAGAGGGAGCCACCATCCTGCTTGTGGCACATCCCTTTACAAACTAGTCTTATTCTATATATTGTTTACCTTTATATGTAGGCATAATATTACACATAGCTTTCTGCAACCTGCTTCTTTTGCTCATTGTTTTTGAAATCTCTTCTTGATTCACTTTACTATATGGTATTCAATGTAGAAATATTCTAAGTGCCTTTGTCCATTTATTTTTCTATAACCATGTTTCCTTTTCTTTTTTCACTTTGACAAACAATGCTGTAGGTATCCACATAGCAGACACTGGAGTGAAATTATCAAACTACCAGAGTGAAACTAGATCCAAACTACCAATCACAAGGTTGGATCTAGTTTACTAGTTACTGTCAAAATGCTGTCCAAAATCATAGGCACCAGCAAATGAGATTATACTTGTTTCAGAATTGATCAACTCCTAGAAATTACTGATATTTCATTTCTGCCAGTTTCAGGAGCATAGTACAAATCATTACAATTTTACATTTCTCTAAATGGAAGAAACTGAAAATATTTAAATGTTTATTGGCCATTCAAGTTTCATCTTTTGTGAAATTGCTTTTTTTTTTTTAAGTTTTATGTTGCTTATTTTTTCCTTCAAAGTAAGCCTTCTGTTGCTACTGATTTCCTTTTTTTTTTTTTTTTTGAAGATTTATTTTATTTATTTATACAAGCGCTGGGCACAGTCAGAAGCACGGGAGGGTGAGAGAATTCACCAGAGCCAGAGCAGGGAATAGAACAGGAAGACCGATGAAATACACTGCTGAGGGGAACAGCGGGCGTGGCAGGAGAGGTCTGTCGCGCCATGTGGGACCCTCGCCTGGCAGCCCGGGATGGAACCAGCGTTGCAGAGGCTGCAGGCAGCTTTGCAGCCCAGCACTCAACCGCTGCGCCACCAGGGGAGGCCCTGAAATTGCTTTCTATTGCTTGTTTGTTTTTCAATTGTGTTGTTACTAATTATTATAGGAATTCATTAATGTAGATATATATCTTTTCAAAATTGTAGTATGTGTTTTACTGTCTTTATTGTCTTGATGAAAAGATCTTAAACTTAATGTAGTCCACCTATCAATCTTTTCTGTTAAGGTTTGCACTTTTGGAGTATTGTTTGAGAAACCCGTTTCTACTTCTGAGAGGTGGTATAGTTTAATGATTTAAACAACAGAACCAAGAGGCAAATTAACTCTTCTAATCAGTGCCTCTGTATCCTGGAGCAAGTCAATTAATTTCTTGTGCCTCAGCTTCTTCATCTATAAAATGGAAATGATAGTAATAGTACCTGCTTCATGGGGTTGTTTTAAGCACTAAACAAGTTGTCATATGTGAAATGTTTTAAATTGGATTTTTATTCTATAGAATAACCAACTATTGGGTACCATTCACTAAATAATCTGTTCTTTCTGCATTGTTTTGCTCACCTTTCAAATTAGTTTATCCTACAGTGCTCTCTTCTATTCCACTGGTCCATTTGTCTATCCCTGTCTTTTAATAATTATAACTACAATACATTTGCTTCTAGAAGTGTAAATCCCTCTGCCATGTTATTCATCTTCAGAATGAACTTAACTATTCTTAGGCCTTTGTTCTTAAATTTTGGGATTTTGGGATTAGTTTGTTAAATTTCATAAAATCTCTCTGGGTACTTTGATTGTAATTACATTGAACCTCCAGATTAATTTTGGTAAAATTGACATCTTTATGGTACCATTACCAATGAGAGCATAAATCAGAGCTCTCCAAAAACATGCTTTTTATATGATTCTTCTTCAAATAGGTTTCTTACATGTATGTGCCTAAATGAAAAAAAAATCAAATAATTTACTGAATCTTAGGTACAGGAGAAGCTAAAAAGTCGAGTTCTGCCTTTAGCTTTGGGGAAGGGCAATTAAAGAAAAACTGGACAACCATAGAAATAAGACAAAAGGCACACTATTTACTTAGTTTCCTAAGTCATTTCTCAATAAGTATAGTTTTGTTTCTTCCTTTCAAATTCTTACAATTTAGTCATAGTGTTTTTGATGTAGTGCATTGTAAACACATTAAAAAACTACCATCAAGAACAAGAGGCAGAACATTAGAGGAACTCCACTAGGTCCTCATGGTCCCTTCCACTCACTGCCCCACCTGGCCCCAGGGTAACACTACCCTACCTTCATTCTAAACATTCATTCCGCTGCATTTCAAAGGGCTGTATTCCTTAAGTTTGGGTAGGAAGAAGACATTCCAGTTGAGATTGATTTCCTTGATTTATTAAGGCGTGAACTCAGCTTTTTAGCTTTTCCTGTTCCTAAGATTTGATAAATCATTTGATTTGGATTTTTTCAGTTAAGCACAACACATTATGTCTCCCTGCCTGTTCTTTCCCCTACTCTACTTCCTTCCCCCTTGGTGTCTCAGTTCTGTAGTCAGCTATCAAGGGTTAATTTTTCAGCTTGCCTTTATCTGATTATTAATTTAGTTACTTTATATTCCCCATTCCAGTATTTATCTTTCTCATTCTCATTTATTTTGCTTAGCATTATCTTTTCAGGCTCCATCCATATTGCTGCAAATGGCATGAATTTATCTTTTTTGACCACTGAGTAGTATTCCATTGTGTAATTATACCACATCTTAGTTATTATATTGAAATACTGGACTAATAATGAGAAAGTCATGTATTGTAGCTTCTGGAATCTTTTTTAACATTTTAAAACAAAGTTTATTTAAAAATAGAGCAATAAGTTTTTGTGGGATACTTTAATCTGTATTTAAAGGTTTAAAATCAAAATATTTCTTGAAAATGTGACCATCTCTTAATAAAAGGTAGGCATCCCAAAGATTAGGTTTCAGTTATCAGTGGACTCATAGACTAACCAATGTTTTCTAATAGTAAACAAATTTACATCAAGCAAAATTATTTAAGATTTCTTATTTTTGTTCAGTATTTTACTTCTAGGAAATATAGACTATATTTATTCCAGTAAATAACCAAATGTTCCTTTAGTTCTGGAATAAAGTAACAGGTTGTTGATGAAATAGATTTATTTTGCAGAATAAAATTCTCATATTATTCCTGATCCATTAATACACAGTTCTTTGTGCCTTAAATTTACATAGTCTTTAAGCAAGAAGAAAAGCTTATTAAAATTAATTTTTCCCTTAGGATTTATTCTGGATTTTCACACACATTGCACAAGTGAAATGGCTTTTTAAAACTCATGCTTTTTGTCATCCTAATTGTTTTACACATCTTGGCAACTTTTCACACTCTGCATAAAATAGGGGTTCATTAGGAGTCATTAAAAGAAAATATTTTTCTTGCAAATGCATTAGAGAATTTTCACATTATTTTATGCCATTTCTAGAAGAGATGTAAATTTGACTAACCATGAAGCAAACAGGGTCACTTAACAATAATGCAGGAATGAGTCTCTCAGCAATAGCATTTCAAAAATAAGAACTTGATGGAACTTAGAAATGGAACCATTATTACATGTTGATAAATGTTTAGCATTAGATTTTTTATTTGATTAATGTTTAGCTCTTAAATGATTAGGTGATATATTTATATATTCTTAAATATTACAAGAAAATAAATATGAGAAACATGAATAATAAAGTCAAAACTAAAGGTAAAATTGAAATCTTAGTTTACTCTTACCAAACAATTTCTTAGAGAAAGAACATAGGTGTGATTAAGGCAGGAAGGGATAATTTAAGGTAAATTTAGCAGTTTAGCTGGGGACTTTTTGTTAAAGGAAGGGAAAGACAGGTATATATTTTAGTATTCCCAATGTGTAAGTAACATGAATTAATAAATCTGATTTTACAGCCACTCTATAGAATACTCAGGAGTAGTGTTATTATTAGGTCCTTAAAAACAACAATGAAAAATAATTAAATTATTGCCCTTCAAATGAAGCACAAATATGGATAGTTTATTTCTCTAACTTTGCTTCTCATAGCAAACTGTGCTTGCTGAGTTATATGTGATTGCACTTGCTTAGTCATAAATAAGTTGTTAGAATCATGCAGTAAATACTCCAGTTTACCCTGGGCAGTATATCTCCTCCCTACCTATACTAATACTCATACCATTTGGCAAAGGAAAGATCATCTTAACATTACCTTAATACTGACCATTTTATATGAACAACATCAAATCATGGAAGTCATTTTGAGTATTCAAATAGAGACAGTCTCAATCCCTC